TACCTATTATGAGATGCATAAACTAAAAATATAAACTTGCAAACTTGATTTCTCAATGGTTTTTTAAAAGTAGCAATTATAACTGTCAGCTGGCATCTTTATGAAGGCTTCCTTTAATCTGAAGTGTCCTCCTTGCTTCCCACTGCAATACCTGAACCATTTCTTTTCCCTATTTCCTCAAACCTAGCCCCTTTGGTACTTCTGAAGTTCTGCTCATTAACTTTATACCACTGATTTCCCTTATCACTGCTATTATCTATCAGCACCCAGATTCAATCTTTTAGTTGGTGACTGTAGCTCCTATTTCCCTGTCTCTCAAAAATATCACTTTTACTGGGGGAACTTCCATATCCATATAATCAGCTCATCCAAGACCTCCCAGTTTCTGGATTGCCTAGCTGTCAGTTTCCCTCCATCCAAACTTAGTCATAAATTCACAGGGTCATAACCTTATTTTTGTCTTTATTTTCCATGAATATCCAGAGTGTCCTTTTTCTATCCACCTTCTCTATCCACCTTAGGGTTTTTTGTTCATCACTTTCACTACTCCATGCAACCACTCCCTCAATTCCAGGTTTCTCCCTTCCTCTCTTTCTTCCTTTCCTTTCTTTTCCTCTTCCTTCATCTCTGCTATTATACTCTTTATATCTTCCATCCACTTTCTCACTTACCTGGCAAAACTAAATTTGTAATTAAACTCAAGCATCTGACTTCTTAGTATCTGAGCCTAGAAGGTTGCTAGGGGAAAACATATCTGCTTGCTGACTGTTCACACTTCAAATTCGTAACCATAGATCTCATATGGGCACACAATTGTTTGCCTCGGCATACTGTTCCCATTTTTATCCTTGGACTACTGTTTTTTCTACTATGTAAAACTGCTATTTAATATTTGGACCTTCTTCCTCAAACTTTCTACACTCCTTCTTTCTATCACACTCTCAATTGACAACCAACCTCAGTATTCATGGAAATGATAGGGGATATTAGTGAGAATCTTACCATCATTGAATTTACAAATCAGCTAGCTACTATAGTTGTTCTCCCATTTTGTTTGTATAATGGCAAAGCACAGACATTGGAGATACTGTATTTTACTTAAGATCTTGCTGTGCCACTTCCTGGCTCATGAACATGGACAAATTATTTAACTCCTCTGTGCTTTAGTTATTTCATCAATGAATTGACAATAATTTAAGTCATTATTAAAATGGATGAAATGTTTGTCCCCATGTAAGGCTAACACCTTTGTGCTAGATTTTATCCTTTCTCACCTTCTCAAGGCATTTTGTTCTTTTTATGGTATTGGTGATTGAATCCAGGGGTGCTTAACCACTGAGATACATCCCCACCCTTTTTTATTTTGAGAAAGTGTCTCACAAAGTTGCTGAGGCTAACTTTGAACTTGAGATCTTCTTGCCTCAGCTTCCCCAGCCACTGGGATTATGGGTGTGTGTCACTGCACCTAGCTGACCTTTTGTTCTTGAAATTATGCTCTCCTTCCACTGCATCCTAATATTTTTGTTTTCACTTTATCAAACATTCTTTGATCTTCTTTTCTGGCAAAAGGCCTCCCATGTACTCACATTTTATTTCATACCATCTTCTATGCTCCTCTGTGCAGCAAAGGCAATTGCAAGTAATATCTAAAGTCGCATCATTTCCTTTATTCCTTTTTTCTACTCAGCCTACTTTAGATAGGCTTTCTAAGTGATGGAGTACTCCATTCTCCTAAGATTTTTTTAAAGAATTTAACTCTTATTTAATTAATTTATTTATTTTAATGTGATGCTGAGGATCGAACCTGGTGCCTCACACGTGCTTGGTGAGTACTCTACCACTGAGCCACACCCCCAGCCTCTCGAGAAATTTTTAATTTCCATTTTCTCAGTGGACAGTCTCACCCAGTTTTGTGAATTTAAGATATTATCTGTTTGTCGGTCAATCCCAAATATATTTCCAAATTTTATCTCTCTTGAGCACATTATCTCTAATTACTTGCCAACTATACTGAGATGTCTTATAGTCATCTAAACAGTATCAAAATGTGACTCTGGAATCTACCCTAAATCTGTTTCTGTCACAACAACCCCTTGTGACAGATTACAATTATAATGCTAATTGCCCAGCTGCTTAAACAAAAAATTTGTGTGTCATTCAATTCCTCTCTTATGTTTAACCTCCTCATGTCAAATGCATCAGCATGACCTATTGATTATTTTTGCCTCTAAAGCATAACCACTAGAATGTAAGTTTCATCAATGAATTGCATTTGTTTATTCTGTTCAACAATATTCTAAGGATCTAGATAGTGCTTGGCACATAGTAGGAAGCAATTAAATATCTGTGAATTAAATGAATGATCTTGAATCTATTTTCTTCCATTCTCATGACCAATACCTTATCACTACCATCTCTTACCTATATTTCTAGGATAACTTCCTAACTGATCTGTTGCTGCTACTCTTGATTCCATGACTATCCATTCAGCCTCTTTGCAAAGTTGAATCTAACCAGAGATCCTATTCAGTTAGAATAAAACAATCCTTTATGCTCTAACAGTATAATAGAAGTATGAATTGTCTGACATACAATTAGTGAGCCAGTGTAGTGTTTCTTAAACTTATCATGTGAATCATGTTATATAATTATTAAGCATATAGTTTCTTGTGTAACTCCTCAAACTTTATCAATCAGGGGAGTTCACTAAGAATTTGATTTTTCCATAAGAGTCTGAGATGAGTCCTATTATCATAGGGGTAAGATTGGCAAAACCTGGGTAGTATTAGAGCATAAAAGGGATTTCTGAATGACATAACCCACTGGTAGTTACTGTGTGAGTTGTTTAAACTCTGTATTGTTTGTGTGTTGAAATACCATCACAATCTAATATTTTTTATGTGGCAAAGTGACTCTGACCTTGTGCCACTATTTACAGGACTTTTGTGGATGGGTTGAAGGAATGGTTAGCACCAACAGGGAGGCAGAGAGAGAAAACTTGATAAAGGTCCAATATTAAGAAGTAATGTACACCAAGAAGTATATTTATGCTATGTTTGTTTTCTTTAGGCTGTGGTAGGACAAAAATGTTTGAAAACATAACAAAGAGTATTAGATGGCAGCGAGTAGGATATATTTATCTTTTTTAGAGTATATGCAGAAAACCTTTTTGGAGATGCAGTTAGGACTTCAGCTCACACATATATAAACTCCATGTAAGCAATATATAACAATAAACATTCAACTTTACATCTAGAATTTTGGAAGCAATGATTGACAGTGAAACATTTTGGTTTTGCTTTAACAACATAGCATGTAAGTACAAATTTATCAGCAGGTTCAATTTTTCAAATTTTAGGGGGAAAAGATTTTTAAAAATCTATTATACTTAAAATTTATTTATTTGTATTTGTTCTTTTTAGTTATACTATACTTAAAATTTTAACTTGGTTCTCTAGCAATATTATTACAAGAGGTAATATTCTCTTATATCCAAGGGCATGTTTCCCTCTCAGAGTTGGAGACAGAAAACAGCTGTAAGCCTTCTGGTATCTTATATGAGATTTGGTCATAAACCAAAACAGTGCTTTCCAAACATGTCCATGCAGTAGAATTGCCTGGGGGAGCTGCAGAAATACTGATGCCTATATCCTATCCTGAAATGGGGATTTAATTGGTGTGGGATGTGGTCAGGAAATTAAAACCCAACTGATTTGGCAGGGGTTGTGGTTCAGTGGTAGAGTGCTTGCCTCACATATGTGGGGCACTGGGTTCAATCCTCAGCAATATATAAAAATAAATAAATAAATATGAAAAAAATTCTCAAAAATACATAAAACCCAGTTGATTCTAATATGCAGATAAGTTTTAGAGCTGCTGAACTGTATTTCTATTTTTCCATTTTCTATTGGTTTATGTCAGTTATACATACCATTAGGATTCATTTTGGCACAATTATAAATGTATGGAACATAATTTGCCCTAATTTGGTCACCAGTACTTCCCCTTACCCTAGTCCTTTCCTTCTCCTGTTCCCTTTCCTCTACTCTACTGATATTTCTGCTGTTTGCTTGTTTTTTTTTTTTTAAATTAGTGTCTTGTACATATACATGATGGTTAGAGTCTCTGTAGTATATTCATATATTACATAGGAAACTTAGGTCCAATTCATTCCACTGTTCTTTCCTTATTCTGTCCATTCTTCCTGCCCCTCAATCCCCTTCTTCTACTCCAATGATCTTTCTTCTATTTTGATGGAATCCCCCATTTCATTCCCCCCCTTTATTTTGTACCAGCTTCTGCATATCAGGGAAAACATTTCACCTTTGACTTTCTGGGTCTTGCTTATTTCACTTAGCATGATAGTCTTGAACTAGAGATCTATCAAACCTCTGGATAGTGTAAGGCTTAGGTTTCTACACTGAAGTTGAGGCAATAAGATCAGTTTAATTGGATATGTCAAGTTGCAGTCTACATGATGGACATGCTATTACCATGAGGGCATTATTTACATAAAACCGGAACAATTGATGAAAAAAAGTCAATCAGATCAGTTATGTGCACACATGGTCACATACACACAAATTATCAACATTCAAAATAGCAAAAATTTTAAAGTAACATTTTCAAATTGGGTATACATACCTAATTGGAGTTGCCAGATAAAATATAGAGAGCTCAGTAAAATTTGATTTTGAAATATACTAAAAAAATTATTTTTAAGTATATACTATGCAATATTGGGGGCATATTCATAATAAAAATTGTTTATTTATCTGAAATTCAAGTTTAACTGCATTTCCTGTATTTTTATTTGCCAAATCTGATAATTCCATCCCAAAATTTAAAAGACTGATTTGAATAACAATAAACACACTAAGACAAATTAGAACACAAATTAACTTCAGCTTCTTGGTCATTCTGTGTTCTGTTTTCTGAATTATATTGCCTGATTAATCACCCCAGGTTGTACATAACTTTGTACTGAGGGCCCACTGTACCTTATTCTGTCTCTTCTGTCTTCTTCGGAGGCGTAGGAACTCCTTGTGTTGCCTGGAGACAAAGTTCACCGCTGCATATTCCAGTAAGGCAGCAAACACAAACAGAAGGCACACTGCCATCCAAATGTCAATCGCTTTTACATAGGAGACCTGAGAAAGAGAAAGGGAGAGAGGTTTGGGGAGAGAGAGAAAAGCAATGAAAACTTTCAGGAAAATCAGATTCCTAATGGTGTGAGCGGCAGAATAACCTCATTTCCTGAGTCAAAGATTTTCTTTCTATCCTTTCCCTAAAAAAGTTGGTAAGCTATTGTGAATAGTTCTGCAATAAATGGCCTAAATGTTCATCAACAGAGAAATGGGTAAAGATAATGTGGGGCTGGGGATATATCTCAGTTGGTAGAGTGCTTGCCTTGCATGTATAAGGCCCTGGGTTCAATCCCCAGCACCACAAAAAATATAATGTGGTATATATACACCATGGAGTCCTATTCTGCCATAAAAAGGTAGAATTGTATTCATTTGCATCAACATGGATGGAACTAGAAGATATTATGTTAAGTGAAATAAGTTAGGCACAGAAAGGCAAACCCTTCATGATCTTACTCATATGATATCTCAAAAAAATTGGTCTCAGAGAAGTTGAGATTAGGATAGTGGTTACCAGAGACTGTGAGAGTAGGGGGTTGGTGATGTTGCAGAGGGATGGATAATCAGGTGCATTGTGATAGAAGGAATAAATTCTGATGTTCTGTGTTATGTACAGGTGGATATGAATAACAATGATATATAGCTCAAAGTAGTCAGAAGAGAGAATGTTTAGTTTACTTATCAGAGAGAGATGATAAAAGGTTATGGACATGCTAATTACCTTGAGTTGATTATTACTCAATATATACATGAATCTGAACATCACATTGTGGGGTGGCATGTAGCTCTGTGATAAAGCATACACTTAGCATGTATGAGGCCCTGGGTTAAATTCCCAGTACCAAGGAAAATAATACCTCAAAACATCACATTTTACCTCATTAGTATGTAAAAATACCGTGTGTCAATCAAAAAGTTAAAAAAAGATTATGACATCTAAAATGTAAGTGTATAAGTAATGCATTGGTTCTACTTAGAAGATCCTGGGCAGAGCAGTGAAAGTCACATGGCCCCCTGCCCTGTTTGCTTTGTTCCATCTTTCTCAGTATAGCCTGACTGCTCAAGTAGCTTCATCCCTGCTCAGTATAGCCCGACTGCTTAAGTAGCTCCAAATAGATTTTAACTGTTCTCACTACAAAATCTGTTTAAGTAAATGCATATGTTAAATAGCTTGATTTAGCCATTCCACGATGTATAGGTATTTCAAAACATTGTGTTGTATATTATAAGTATACAAAATTTTTACTTATCAATTTAAAACATAAGATCTCTTTAATAAAAAAGAGAAAAATAAAACTTTCAGGTAAAATGAAGAGGACCCTATTTTTAAAACTGCTCACTTCCTTTTAATCTTTCTGACACCTAAAAATAAGTATAATTAAGATAATTTCAAACTTGAATGAGAAATAAACTCTGCATAGCCTTAGGCTTTTTAAAAACCAATTTGTAATTTCCATCTATTTATTGATCGTGATGTGACAACAGTTCTAAGTAGTATTAAATTCACACAGTTCAAGAGTATTCAACCAAAATATCAGGGCTCTAACCTTGAGAAGGTATCTGGTAAAAAAAAAAAAAAGGAAACTATATTTTTAGCCCTTTGGTGTTTGGTTAAGTGTTTAGTAAGTCTTATAATTTAACAATGCAGATTCTGAAATCAAATACTTTTTATTTGCAAAGGAGAATATCCCCTTTGTCACTCAATTTACAATTATTTTTTAAAGTATAAGGAAGAAAAGAAATGAATAATATTGTAGCATTGGATCCCAGATTACAAAAGACACTTTTTAAACTGCCAGGTGAGTATACTATTCAGTTCTAATTTTTATATAGGTTTTTCTAAATTTTTATATTGTCATTAAGTGATTGCTAGCAAGCATCGTAAGTATTGAATATGTATTAATTTTGACCCTCAAAACAATTTATTGCCTCATTTGCTAATGAGGAAACTGGAGTACAAAAGGGCTGAATTATTACCCAAGGTCACAATGCTAACAAGTAACAGAGCCACGATTAGAATTGAAACTTGATCTAACTAATGTATTTCTTTTCTGAATATAAACATACTATTAGTTTGTATCTTGCATTTCCCTTTGGCCTGTATAGTATTTCCAATGTCATTTAACTTTTTTCTAAATCATAATTCTCAAGGCTTGCGTAATGGTGCATGCTATGATTAATCATTTTACATTATAGGATATTTAGTTTATTTTCTATTTCATTTTTGCGAATATTAATTTTGTTGCTATGAACATTTTCCACCCAAATATTTGACTGTCTCAGCTTATTTGTTGGATAAGTTTTTAGATGAATTATAGGAGTAAATGATAGAAAAATAGACTCTTGACTTAGAAAGTTAGCAGTGGCACAGAGGACTTAAAAGCAGAACTCTGGAGAGAAATATCCCAAGTAAGAATCACAACTTTGCTGCTGACTATATCTCTAACTTCTGCAAGTTGTATAACCTGTAAAATATGGACAATCATAGTATTTACCTCATGGAGTTATGTAGATAAAACCACTTAATATAAGTAAAGAGCTAAAACTAGTGTCAAGCACAGAATAAGTGGTATATAGATTGTTTGCAACTGTTTGTCTGTATAAGGGTGATTTTGTTAGTGGAAGAGATTTGAAAAAGATAAGTATTAACAAGGAAAATAAAAATCACAATCCTATTGTATCCCAATTATTTAAGATGACCGCCTGCCTTGCTTACATTATTTGTTTCAGACAGTTTAAACTACTTGTCAGTCTCACATATGCTGTGACACAGTGGTCTAGCACTTTTTCATCTCTAGCCCTTTAAATATATCATTCTTCCTACTTAGGATGCTTATTCCCATTTTGTGTGTGTGTGTGTGTGTGTGTGTGTGTGTGTGTGTGATTAATGGACTCCTCAGAATCCCTCAGCATCTGGCACAAATACCCACTCCCTCGGGAAGCCTCCTTAACCTTCTTTCTTCCTCTCTCCTGAGTTAGGGGCCATTTTTTCTTTATTATTTTACTCTGTCTATTGAATTTGTCTGTTCCTTCTTAGTTCACCTGCTTCCCTGACCCTATCCATGGGCTGTAAAAGTATTTTTTATTTGTTTGTTTGTTTTAGAGGACTGGTTCTGTGCAATATTACTATTTGTATCACCATCACAGGTCCTGACATTAGCTATTTAGGATGAATGGATCATTGAATGAGTAAATAAATGAAAGAAAAAAGGAAAGAAATATCAAGTTTTCTGCATATTTGTGCTTGAATTTCAGTAATTCTCAACTATATCCTATTATCTATAATTGCATATATTTGAAACCTCTCTAAGAGAGGAATATTAGCAATTTTGAATTCTCTCAACACACCTCGCATTCCCAGAAAATTTTAATAAGCAATAATTTTATCTTGTGCTGCTCTTCTGGGGCAATCCCGCTCTCCTGTAATAATAGAACATTACCAATCACACTATTCCCAGTTATTTATTATTCAGATGGCCTGTAAATGTTTTAAGACCCAATAAAGAGAACAATTTGTCAGTGCCTAAGATATGTCCATACCAAGAACTATATCCAATAGAGTTGACCATCATTCCTCCCTTTCCTGATGTGTACAATATTCAGTAATTTGTAGACCTTTTCCACATCTTCTTCTGACCATCAGCAGGCCACATAAGTATTTGACCTCATTTTAGCTGCTCATAAATGAATTCTTTTAGTCTCTTAATCATTTTGGTTGGTCTCTGAGTTTCCTCCAAATTACGAACATCTTTCCAGCATTGAAGTGCTGGCAATAAATGCATTATTCACTCAGTTTTAGAGGGTGTTGTGAGATGTCTATTACATACAATGTGATGCCCTTGGTGTTAGTCCCTCAGGATTGAAATTCCTTTTTGTAGCTTTTATCTAGCTCTAATGTCAGATTCTCTCTCTTTGGGGCCTAATCCTTACATGTTTTTTTGCTCACATTTTTTCCTATCTCATTCTTTTTATGATTTTTGGGCTTACATGATCCCTTCCTGAATTACTTTACTACAAATTTGCAAGACAGTTTTCAAAGATAATTAAACTCTCAAAATGCTATTATGATTCACTAAATTGGTATCTTTTTGGGCAAATTTAATTCCAAAATATTTTTTTAAACAAAATGATTAGAGTCTACTATGCTACTATGTGGAAGATACTTTACTTCCTTTGGGATATGGGGCAGAAGATATAAAGATGATAGATATGCATATTGATTCTTCCTAGAACTTCCTAGATTATACTTTAGAGGACTTTCATCACACTGTGTACCAGAAAGTAGCTTTCACTTAGATTAGAGAACAGCAAATTATGACCCAAGGATCAAATCTGGCCTACTACATGTCCTGTAAATAATGTTTTATTGAAACACAGTAATTTTTATTTATATATTATCTATGGCTACTTTTGTATTAAAATGGCACAGTGGTGACAAAAACCTAATGGCCCCCAGATCCTAAAATACTAAATGGTCTCACAAGAAAACATTTGCCACTCTGTGACCTAGACTGTAGTCTTGTTTGTACTGGTGTTGCACTTCCCTGTGGCATTGTTTCAGGGCTTAAGAAACCCATGGTCTGTTGAGTGAGACAGTCACATGAATGCATAACTGATGCAATGTAGATGTTTCTACATGTCGGAATAGAGGAAGGACCAAAAACTGGTGGAATATGGGGAGGTTGATGTTGATAGGGGAAAAGCCTTCAATTTTGAAAGGGGCAGCATTCAATTTAGGGCTTGAGGAAAGCCAGTACTTTGTTGGGTAGAAAAAGCTGTAAAGGCAAAACCCTAAGAATGGGAAAGAATACAGTGGAATTGGGAGATGGTGAGAAACCCAGTGACATGGACATGTTGGGTACTCAGGGGTTGTATGGTGAGAGGAAAACGGATGGGCCAGCAAAATGTAACTGAAAGCCAGATAGGTTTGGTGTTAAATTGCTCGTGATGATAAGCTAATGATAGTTTTGAAGTAGGGTACAGAATATAAGTCTTCTTGTAATTATCAT